GGGCGGGGTCTGTCCATCCAATGGTTGCACCGGATTTCCTTTTGGGGACTTGCTTTCCCAATGAGGTGTGGTCCTGGTGCCCTCTAGTGTGCTGTCTGTCTGAGAAGTTGGGCTCCGGGCAGGCTCTGCCCATCAGACCTTCCCTTCATCACCTGGGACCTGACCTGAGCTCATCCGACCGGAGTCTGAGCAGAGTCTCTCTCTGGGAACCCGATGCAGAGTAACAGGGGAGTAGAAAACACAGTGGACTGGTGCCTGGAGAAGATGCCTTCCTTCCCCTCACTCCTCTGGCAGCCCCAAATCATTCCTGCAAAGTCTCTGTTTCTTAAAGGGCCAAAGTCCACTTCTGTTGCTTGCAACCAAAGAAGTGAACATGATTGCTTTCCGCCTCTTGGAAACAAGTGTTTCCTTCTCAGCCGGCTTCTCTTTTTGTCTCCTCTTCGCGCCAATGTCCCTCCCTCCCCCATGGCCCTACACAGAATGTTCTCCACAGACTACGCTTTTACGCTTCATGCATGTCTCCAAGATGTCCTTTCTGTCTGGGTGCCCATAGTCAACCCTCATCTGCCAACAGGCAAGTTCGAACTCATTCTTCAAGCTCTGGCTCAAATCTCACCTGCCTGGCAGGCTTTCAGACCCAGAAGTACAGAAATAGCTACTCTCCCCTTTTTCCATGCTTTCACTGAAACGTTGACCGCATGCGCCACGTCGCACTACAGGCAAGTTCTTTGCTGCTACCTAGATTGGGTGCTCTTTGGGGGTGGCTTTTGTTCAGTTTTTTTCTCTAGGATGTGATGCAGAGAAAGAACACAAAGCATTTTTGCTGAATGAACGACTGGAGGAATATTTCTTACGCTATATGAAGGTTATAATTTTGCAGGCAAATGTTTTTATTTTGGGGCATGACCAGATAATTTCAGAACAGTAGGCAATTCTACAGGTCTTGTAATTCTCCTAGGAGCAGTGAGCAATCTGTATCTGCTGTCCAAACTGACTGTCTGGAAGGATCCAAAAGCTTGAGTTCATTGTCTCAGCAGCTTCTTTGAGAGTTACACGACAACATGGTTACATAGCAAGAGTGTACTGACGAAGTCTTCTATGGCCCTGACCACATACCAAGCACCAAGAAATACCAACTCACTTCATCTTCATAATACCCCTGTGAAGCAGAGCCTGCTATTTTTCCCATTTCACGAATGGGGGAAACTGAGGCACAGTGAGGTCAAGTCACCCGCCACAGTCATGTGGCTGCTGAATGGGCTGTGGCCCTCCACGCTGGCTCCTGCTGGGTCCTTGAGGAATGAAGACTCTCAGCACTCAGCCCAGCTTCGCAGCTTGGGGCTGGACGCGGGAGCCCCCCCCTCCCATGGTGGCCTTGTGCAGAGATCTGCCCACCTGTAAAAGGCACTGATAATGGGCACAGAGCACAGACACAAAGGGGCTGACTTCCCAGCTAAGTTACCGTGGGTGGTGAGGGAGCGGGGGGAGTCCTTCCATGATCTTATTTGAGCCACTGAGATCCCCAGAGATAGCCCTCGCGCCTGTAGGAGCCCCATCATTCGCCTTGGCGACATTCACCAAGCAGGTGTGGTTGGCAGGAGAGGATAGTGGCTCAGGGCTGAAGTTCATAAGTCAGAGGGTACTGAAGGCGAGGCCTAGCTCTGCTGTCTGCTGCTATGTGTTTGACCTTGGGCAAATCACCACACTGCTGAGTGACTCCGTTTCCTCATCTGTGAAATGGGTATGATAAAAAAAATCTGCATGTCATAAGATAGTTATGAAAATTAAATGTGATAATTACATGGAAATTACTTGGTATGTCTTGTACCTATTAAGTGGTAAATTTAGACAAATATTAGTGCAAATATTCATGCTAATTATGGGAGATTAGTGACCCGTGGCACTTTAGGTCTTTTAGGGAACAAGGGGAGGGAAAATAGTAGGGGTGAGAAGTGACTGCACTTTGTCAGGGAGAGCACAGTCCTTAAGAATTTACTCCAGACCAGGCTCAGTGGCTTAACCTGTCATTCCAGTACTTTGGGAGGCCAAGGCGAGTGGACTGCCTGAGCCCGTGGGCTCAAGACCAGCCCAGGCAACCTGGCGAGACCTCATCTCTACAATAAATCAAAAATTACCCAGGCATGGTAGTTCTCACCTGTAGTTCCGGCTACTTGGAAGGCTGAGGCGGAAGGATCGCCAGAGCCTAGCAGGTCGACGTTGGGGTGGCCGTGAGTGTGCCGCTGCCCCTCCAGCCTGGATGACACAGTGAGACTAAAAAAAAAAAAAAAAAAAATTTACTCCACTACTGGATAAAGACAACGTGGTACATATGCATGATGGAATACGACGCAGTCATAAAGAAGAACAAAATCATGGCCTTTGCAGCAACATGGATGAAGCTGGAGACCATCACACTAAATGAATTATCACAGAAACAAAGAACTGAATTCTGCATGTTCTCACTCACAAGCAGACCCCAATCACTGGTCACACGAGCACAAGGGTGGGATCGGCAGATGCTGGGCACGGCGAGGGGAGGAAGGGACGTAGGAGGGACACGTGGTAACACACTGGGTACCTGGTCCACCCTCAGGGGGAGAAAAGGCCCTCAGAAGCCCAAACTTCACTGAGTGCAACTTACTTATATAGTAAATGTCACTTGAAGCCTACAACTCCAAAACTGAATTTAAAATTTGAAAAAGGTTTCTAAGAAAGAAAGAATGTGCTCCACTGCCTGAAATCCTCCACTGGATTCCACTGGCTACGTGAACCCCAGTAGGGTTTGCAGCTTTCGCACTCAATGCTCAGGGCTGATGGTGCTCAGGATTATTTGAGGGCAGCAGACCCAATATTCCTTTTACCACTTTGTTACCCCTTCAAATGTCCAATAAAAAAAAAGACCCTCAGTGATTAACGTAACCAAAAAGTCTTATTTTATCACAAGTGCCTAAAGCCAAGAAGCTATGATACGTTTCACATACCCTGAGCTGTGAGTTGTGACAGCCAGTGATGGAGTGAAGTGAGCACCCCAAAGAGGAGAAGTGAAGGCCATCAGAACACATGTGCCCTGAACCCTGAATTGGGAGGGTCCCAACCCATCAGTCCACTTAGACTTCCAACTTTGCAGATTCCGGATTCAGATACAGAGCACCTTCAAATGCTTCCTACAGAAACCAGACTTCACTGCAAAGCTCTCCATTCACTGCAAAGCAAACAGATATATATATACATACACAAAGAAAGTGCATTCTTAAAGTAAGAAATATACTATAGTCTCTTGATGCCTCTATCCCAGTTTTTAATATCCACAGTTTACATGACTCACCAATCAGACTCATTCTCTGAGAGATCTTTGAGTTGAAAATTGGGACAGAAATGAGAATAAGCATCTGCAGGTATTCATGTATGCCACGAACCCCGCACACACTCACAACACGTCAATAAGCCCTCCCCATGTCAGAGTCAATAGGGTGAAATTCATTCCCTTGCTGTCTTCTCTCTATTCTTTTTGTCCCTAATACTAGGACATGAGAGTAATGCACCAAATAACACTCTCAAAAGGCAGAGCCCACAGAATGTGGAATCCTCTTGGGACTATGTCTAGGTATTATCACTCCACAGCTGGCGTCAGGGCAACTCCCGCCACTGGGATATGAAACAATTTGTGATGTAACAATTAACAGAAATATGACTTAAGGATTTGCTCCGCAGGGAGCTGGTAACTGCAGGAATCACCCCAAGGAGCATTTCCTTGGCATGTTCGGTCTCCCAAGGGACTCTGACGAAATTCAGATGACTTTAAAGCACCAGGCATCTGAAGAAGCACCCCCTCCCCTTTACGTTGTTAGAAGTAGAAGTTACAAATGACACTTCTCCGTCCAGCTTTTGAGCTACATGAAGGGATGAGCTGTAGAAAAATGCAGCCGTGAGGACCCCCACGCTTGCCCGCTTCACACCGGGTGAACAGCCTTCTGCAGATTCCAATTAGGAACGCGTTCCACTGGTCCTTCTCCTAAGGGTGTGAGAGAGACTTGGCGTTGCAAAAGCTGCATTTTGTATTGCCCGGATGATTGTAAAACTCCCCGCTCGCCACCCCCTACCAGCCAAAAAAACCCATCCGCTTAAGTCCCAACCCCCTACCTCAGTTCTCATACACTTTCATCTTGCTCCCAGGATCAACTAAAGTAAATAAGATGTCCACCCAGTTAATGGAAACCCCACCAGCTCTCAGTGAGTGCCTTTTCATGCCAATTAAACACATTTTATACAGTCATCGTAGATGCATCAATGACTGCGTTCGGAGACGCCAACAGGGCTGCGGCAGCCATCAGCCCCGCAAATGAAATGTATTTCATGCGAGTTTCCTCTCTGTCTTATTCTAACCACTTGGCAACGGTCTCCATTGAAAACATTGATTCTGAAAGATATATATGGATATGTAAACTGATTAACCAGCTTATTTGCTGCTGATTACTTTACTAATAAAGATCTCAGAGTGCTTAATTTAAATTAATACTTCTTTAATGAAAATCCAGCTTAGAGCATAAAAAACAATCTTGACAGACGCATTTATTGCACAAACATACATTTATCTACGCCAAGCCAATTGAACATACAATCATATTTGGTCGGAGTTATAATTGATAATGATTCTACAGTTATTACTTCGGTTAGGTGTGTGCTGTTCACCAGTTACTCTGATCGTCAAGGAAGGTCTTCTCTCTTTGGAGGCTGTGAGGCCGGTGGGAGGGATGGGGAGGCATGCCAGGCAGCCTCAGAATAGGTGGTCACTTTTGAGATGAGGCACAAGATGATCTTGCATCCCCTCCCCCCACCTTCCCTCCTCCTCTGCCTTAAAAAGCAGAAAGGAGGGTGGCTGATTTTCCAGTGCAGTAAAAATCGGAAGGGGACACAAAAGGTGTCACATGTTGAGACCCAAGGATTAAACAAAACCAGGTTACTGGTTAACCAGTGGGTTGGTAGCCTGATGTTTGTGGCAGCCAAATACTGGAGTCTCGCCCCTCTTGGAGTTTATGGGCCAATTTCTCCCAAGATGTGTGAGCTCGTTGTGTGCCTCCAGTGGCGGCCAGCCCTGAGTGACAGCGCCTCGGCGTCTGGAAGCCCCACTGGGTTGTGAAATGAACAAGGCCCTCCGTGTCCCCGATCCGGCCGGGCAAGCCCTGGGGGCTCCCGGAGCAAGCATCTCCCAGCCCCTAAAGGGCAGACATATATCCTGCCTTTAAGACAAGACTACAATTGCAAATCCAAGAATATAAATTACACTTTCATCTTT